GGGTAGTTGATATGCTCTGGGCATGAAGGTCGGCATTAACGGAGACTGTCTTGACTTATAGGTGCAGAGCATGAGGCCATCACCATAGTGTGTTGTCCGGGCAGCCATTTTGTTTCCGTTCGATTCAAAGCCGCCCTGAGGACTCTGGTAACGTTCTCGCTAACACCCGACGCCTCTAGGCGGGATTCTATGTGTAGGGTTTATTTCTCTTTTTATGCTGAACGCGTAAGAAAATTTCCCTCCTACAACAGCAGACTTACCAAGGCATGCTCTTAAATTCCATGGGGCGATCGCTAAATCGGGTTCAGAACGAGGCGCCTTGCCGTTAGAAAGCCAGGCGGGGGTGGAGGATTTGGCCTGGTTCCCGCATAAAGTTTTCAAAGTTTCAATGATTCTAAACGTTTATGTGGTATGCGCTTTTAAGCTTGGAAAGAAAACTTGCCAAGCTTTTTTCTCAGCTGCACTCGAGCTTCTTACAGTCTCCTGGTACATCATTCCCCGGAAGCAACGAAATTGATCCGCGCATCGTTATGGTATGAGTCGGCGTAGGCAGCGGAAACGAGACGGCGAAGGCGAGACGCTCTCCGTAAACGATAAGAGATATATTTAGACGGCAATTCATCACAGCTGCCAAATTGCCGCTTCATCGGTGCGCAAGAGTTCAATGCGCACATCGATCACAACCTTCCACTTCTGTTCCTTCCGATTAGTTCCCACGCGCAGGCGAGCGACGCAGCACACTGTAGACAACTTATCTTCAGAAAAAGACATAAATCCTCAGAGGGACTCAGGTTCTCTCCGAATCGCCTCTGACGTCGAAAGACCATGGTTAGTCGTTGAACTTGCGCTAAATGATCACGCTACGTTCGAACTGTAATCGATGGTCTATCATGGGAACTAAAAGTTTTGCCGCTATTTTACGGCGTTAAATTTATTCTTTGGCTGGTTTTCTTGGTAGAACTCAAACCATGACATATATTACTGATTAGAAAATTGCATACCTACCAAATTTGGGAACCGAAAACGGTTAATGAAGTAACGTTTTGCTTTCTTTATTGAATCAGGATCATGTCAATAGCACAGAAATTAATTCCATATTTTTACTTTTTTCAGAATTAAAACTTGATCTTGCTCCGCTTTTCTACGGTAATCCTGTTTACATTGAGGAGAGAAAGGCCAACCAACTTGTAATTCATCAAATAAATTAGGCACATTTTTTCAGCAGGTAAATTGTCCAAACTCTTATGCCGTGTTCTACAGTAACCTGCTAAAATGCATGGAAAGTTCATTTAGGGAACAAAGAGGAGCTTTGGTACGGAGTAGGCAGATTTCTTGGCTTATGCATTAGCGTTCTTTGTTACGACTGAATTGCTTTTGCTTTTTCCGAACGTGCTGTAGTACGATTTTCCGTGCTCACGTTTCTATGAATTCGTAAATAATGCATTATGTTGCGCGATTTAATCAAAAGGACAACAATGACGGATCCAATAGACAAGAGTCGAATTGGTTTTACAAAACATTTCGACATTTAGAGAATTCAAAGATTGATCAGTTCTATCACGTCTTGTGGGGAATGCTTTCGAAAGGACATGACGTAGTGAGCTCTACCGAGGTCGACAGCTACATTGATACAACTGTCGCATCCATCCTACCCCCAGGAACTTAGAAGGTGTCCCTCTTGGTTATTTGTCATTTCTTATGAATAATTCCGGTTTGCTGCAGCGTGCAATGTAAAATTGAGAAGGAACGATCGAAGGTTTTGCCAAGCAAATACTATTGTAGTTGATTAAAGCTGTATAATACCGCACTATAATAATTTTCAACACGTTCGTCATCTTTCCTAAAGTGGGACAAGCCTTCTGCCTTATTGAATGTATTTCCAAAGGATACTGTAGCCCCATATGTCTAATTGGCTGTACGGCCTCCGAAGCACATTTGCGAATTTGTTAGCCTTTCTTACTTTATAGCAGAGCTACTGTCAGACAGGAATGACTTCAAAGAATGGACCGAATCGCGACTCATCTTGAACTTGGACCGTTCGGAACGGCTGCTAACGTCATTGGGCTTAACATACATATTCTCTTTCCTTTCCTTCTACCATCCTCTCACTGTTATAAAATAATTGCTATGTTAACTCCTTTTTCTATTAGGTTGTAAAGAAAGTTCCCGGGCACTTTTGGAAATTTCATTTTCAAACGCCTTTTAGAAATTTCATTTTCAAACGCCTTTTTTCGGCACTCGGTCGGACTTCGACACCAAATTTTTTATACTGTTCAGTAGAGGGAAGCCTGAAGTTTTCAATACCGCTCCTATTTCTATCGAGGTCAAGACGTGTTTGACCTGCACATCAAAAAAGGAAATCTTTCCAATCATAAAAATTTCGCAATTTTTCTTCCTGCGCCCATTTTTCTGTGCAGTTCAAAGAATTTCGTCTAAATCATGAGTGATCTGATTGAGGAACCTGTCAACTTCTGACCTGCAGCTGCACTCGAGTTTTGCGATTTGTGCTCAGAAATAACAAGCTGTCGAATTTGCCTTTGACTGCAACTCTTTTCGCAGCTGGCGTCGCATCTGCAGGGATCGCCACGCCTGGACGATGGGTCCAAAAGATGTGTAGGGCATTACCCCAACTATTTTCGCTGAAATTAAAGGTTTGATCCTTTCTGTGCAGAACTAGAAGACTCCGAAGCCACTTACTCGAAAAATGGTGCATTTTTAGGGGTAAAAAATGATCATTTTTCAAACTTTCTGGAAAATTTTTGTGCAGGTGGTCCTTCAAAAGCTTGAATGGTTCACATAATAGCCCCAGCAGAACTCTATATAACTACAGCATCTGGACTCTCCAGCTGTTATCCTGCCTGAGATAATCCTGCACAAAGAGGCCACTTTTCGCGACGACCTTTTTCCCTTCTGCGCATGTTGGTGGACCAAAGTGAGGTGCTGAGAAGCCAGCAAGACAAATATATGTTGTGGACAAAATTGTCCTTGCAATGAAGTTTGCAGCTTCAGAAAAGAATCAATCTGCTTGAAGTTACAGCGATTTGAAAAAAATTTTCGCAAGTGCCCGGGCACTTTCTTTACAACCTAATAACTTATTACCTCTCGAGGTACCACCATTATCACCAGCAACTTCAGAGCTCGAAAGTTTTTACGTTCATTACAAACTAGAGCTATTCACATCTTTTCCACATGAACACTTCGCAAGGAAAAGAACGTAAACATCGTTGAAATACTTGCGGCTACACTTTCCGCCCATTGTCACAACGTCATGTTCTCATTCACCGAATTTTTCTTTAGATTGATTACACATCTGCCTGATTCTCCCCACACACACGGATTGTGTTTTGTGTTCAATTATGCCTTTATGTTATGAGACGTAATAATCTTGAAAGTAAGTCTTATCTTTTTGGAGCCGTCATTAACGTTTAAGTAGGTACTTGTACGTTTGACCGATCAAATGTACAAAATAGCAAAAAAACCGGTTTCGTTGCGTTCTCGAGCCTTTCATCCGTTATTCTCGCATTAGATGTTCATTAACACTTGCGCAGAGTTATTGGCCGTCTTAACAATGCATTTCCGTTTCCTGCTCCCTCGAGAATAGAAAGGCTATTCTGCCACTTTGTCACACTACCTCTGACTGACTCTGGGAGATTTCACAGATTTTTGATTTAAAGGCGCTTAAAGGTACCGTCCATTCTAAGTCACGAGTCTCAAGTTTTTGGCAGCAGACGATAGTATGGCTCTCAAAGCCAATGCCCAAGTCGAGGCGAAAAATGTTTTCGAAGCAAGAAAATCGCTCCGGAATAACGAAAAGAGCAGAGGACCCCTAGGTGGCAATGTCCCCTCCAGTAGTATCCGCCGATCACTGCTTGGCCTCCAATCCCCTTTCCTGTTATGGGAGTGTCGGGGCTTTTGAGGGCTTTCAACTTCATATTCGAAACCAGGGACATGAGAAGGCCCTGCAACGACAGAACTTGGAGTAGAGAGAATCTGGGTGGAAGATGTCTCCAAGATAACAGTTTAAAAAAGCTTGTGGACAAGACGTCTGAAGCGCTCATGACTAACTAATACCACTCAGCGTCGATTTTTTATTTGGACCTTTTTGTCGCTTTCTTAAGAAGTGCGTCATAATCATCGGGTGATGTATTAAGAATAAAGGGCCGATATCTAAAACCTCCAGTAATGACAAAGTCGACTGTCCCAAGATTGGAACATAAATTGGAAGAAAATTGTTTCTGAAACCAATTAGGCAAACAGTAAGTTCCTGCCCAGCTTTACTCTTTTTGAGGACCAATTAGCCTTTGATTACTATACGCTTATAGTCAGTTCGAAAAGAGTACAATTTGAGAGAAAACTCTTTTCAGTTTCTTAGCTTAGAATGAGTCGGATATGCTCCAGCCTAAACAAGGACCTAATCTCTTGATCTCAAAGAGTTCACGCATTTGAATATACCTAGGCATCTTTGAGACATAGAATCACACATGAACTAGTTCACAAAAAGATGAAACTCCGCACTTTGTTTCTCATATTATCTTTTTCCTACCACCCACTTGAGTCCATAGTCACATTCCGACCCACCAACGACTCCGCACTTTGTTTCTCATACTATCATTTTCCTACCACCCACACTTGAGTCCATAGTCACATTCCGACCCACCAACGACTCCGCACTTGACAACTACCTGTTTATTGCGCGCTCTTCTATTTTTTCTTGGTTCAAGCGATTATGAAAGATGATGAATGTTTGGGCCAGGTCTTCTAGGACAACCTTTGGTGACTCACTTCCGGGCAAAAAAAAATGAATTTGCTGCGTTGCAAGGGTACGGTAGGAAAGTGTAATGTAAAAAAAATTGGGCGGCCATGAGCATTTTTTTCTTCATCATATCGTCTACACCCACAATGCACTCAGTCGGGTTCGTTGTCGACATCGGGTCTGGCGAACACCGGTTACTCTCGGGTCAGTCGAACCACAGGTTCTCTCGCAACCGGTACGTCCCCATCATCTCTCCCTCGTCGATGCGGAAGTGGGCGGCTGGAAGTTGCATGAAAAGATCCAAATGGGATACTGTACGTATCGCTAGCATCTTACATATCCACCCTTCTCTGCTTTTTTCGATTTCAAGATTTTGTCAATTCATTTCATTTTTCGGTTCCCCTCCCCTCACGTCTCCATAGTCAAGTCCGCATAATCTATGACACATCTAATGCCATAATCAGCTATAACAGTTAAGAAGTTTAGCAAGAGATAAGTTCTTGTTACTGGTCGTGAAGATATCTGTTAATCAGCGATTTTTTGAAAATTTCCTGAATCATTAATCTTTACTGAATCACAAGTCACTAAGTGTTGAGCTTCAAATTTTTGAGGAAGGAGGACTTCTCGTTTCCTTTGATGTATTTATCTCCCAAACAAATAAAACCGAGATTCCAAGTCTAAAGGGAACGGTTCCTAATAATTCACAAAATTTCAAGTATTGCCACAGTCATAATCGTCTTTATAATGATTTCGGCAAATCATGGCTTATGCATTGTTTCATCGAAAAGGTGTCATAATAAAGTTGGTATGATCGTAGTATCTACTATCCATGATTAGAGTCAAGCAGCCGCTTTGAACCTTCATTCGTGCACGTGCGTCTGGAAATCCTTGTCACAAAGCACAGGACAAATATCATGTATCCAAAAGGAGAGGTCCAGCGCGGACCTGCAACAACCGCGCCACTACACGTAATAAGCGGCTGCAGCTTGTGTCGGCTGTCTGCGGAGGGTGCATCCTAATGGCGACATTCTGCCCTTTACTCGCAAAGTCAATTGTGTTGTAGTTGTATGTAATGGTATTGTTACCGTACTCTAATCGGGGTATTCCTGCACAGTAACCATACCCGCTTCAGGTGCTGTTGGCAGTTGGGTAGAAGAACGATGACTGCAGCCGCTTCCGTGGACGACTGGCCCTTTTTCAGTTGCTAGTGCATACCGAATGGGGATCAAAAGTCCGCGGAGGCGGAACATCATGGGGAAATCGTTTCTCTGCCTGGAGGTTACTTTAGTCGACATAGTAAAGTCGGAAATTGTTAACGATAGATAGCTACATCTACTGAACTCCCTTTGGAGTGCATTTTGTATCCTTCCGCCCCTCCTGCACCCCCCCCCCCTGGCCACCCTTGAAGGTGACTGAGTCGGTGATATGATAGGCGCTGCAACCGACAGGTGTATTCTTGCCGCGCTGGGCACTTTCCCTCCGTTTCATTCCAGCAAAATGTTGTTCTCCTTCATCTGATCATCACGAGTTTCATTACACTGGGGTCACACATCAGCAACCTTGCAAACCGGGTGATTTCTAAGCTTCTTTCTGCCCTTTGTTTCATGCTGCGGCTGCATGATGACTTCTAAGCTCCACTCTAGTTCGGTCTTTGGGTTCTCTTGCGCCTCCTTGCAATTTCCAGATGGGGGCGAAGTTCAGTTATCACCAGTCACCCACTCAGACTGTTCTTTTTGTAATATGCCATGCACTAAGCTTATGTGTTCATTATCGTAGCACAACAACGCTAAGCCTTGTATTTTGCTGATAGCTTAAGGGGAGCAAACCGAAGAACTGATAACGCGCCTTGACATCGCAGCTCGTGCATTCGTTTTATTGTTGACACTGCGTCACAGGCCGTAACATCGTCAAAAGCTGTAATCTGCGCTCTCATGAATTACGGTCACCTCATTGTGACAACACAGCAGCCTTTGTGTCTTCATCGTTTTCGCAATTCCTTCATTAGCGAAACATAATTTCTTTGTTTGAGTTGTCGTTTTCAGGGAATGCGAGCGCCTCTAGTCGGGCTCGTACACTTACTGCTGGTCGTTACCGCCTACAACATCAGACCCAGGCATGCTATCGGCCCAACACATGAAATTTCTATTGAGCTGCTGAAGAGTGTCTCTGATCAATTAGAAAATGACATGAAAGGATTCTACAAAGACGAAGAAAATGGTCCAAATGAGGCAATCATAGGAACAAAATCTACATCAGTGCATCAAGGAGGTGCTGATATTACCGTCCGGTTGTATCCGGGTGGAATGAGCTATCTTTTTGAGGTTGGTGAGATATGGTCCTCGTGTTGTATTAGGAACTCTTGCAAATCCTAGAGGTCTAGCTCTTTTCCCCTCTCTCCCAAGGAGATTTTCGAAAATTCAGATCATCCCCAGATAATTTTCTCAGGCGCCAGTGCTAGAACACCAGCACTTTCTTGTTCCGCGATACTCAGAAAATTTGATTATGCACACTGCTAGAGCATCACCACTTTGTTTTACTAGGATGCTTAATAATCTGACCCAAAAAATGCAAAATTTTGACATGTTTCAAAGTTTTGTTGGTAACGCTTGATGTGTAAATGATGGTCTTCAGAGAGACTACGGTTTAGTACACATTCTGATAGAGTTGAAGTATCTCGTTAGAAGAATGGGAAATAATGATCTCAAACATGAAAAATGAAATGTTTACCAAATAAGTTCTCGTGGTTACTGTAGCATTCTTGAATAAATGCAAAAGCATAGAGTGTATCACCGACCGCTCTCAATTACTGTAAGAACACGGTGGTGACTTTTAGCGTTAAGATTGCTTATGACTTAACTGTCATTTTGAAGAATTTCCGCAAAAAATTTGGAAAGTAGTGTAGCAGGATCACACTGCTCGTTCCACCTTCAAACCTACCGCGAGCTTAAGAAGCTTCTTAAATGATGAAGTCACTTTTTGAGGTACTGAGAATTTTTTGAGCTGTTCGGCTTCTTTTTTGACACAGTATATGATCCACATCGGCTCAAAATCTCCTTGAAGTTCTTACTGTAATTTTACCGTAATTAAGAAAGATCGATGATTCGCTGCTTATGCTTTCCTAAGTTAAAGTTAGGTTGAGCTCTACAGAATAATATCTAGAGGTAGGCAAAAGACTTCGTGGGATGGAAATAGAGACATTAACGATTAAAATTGTGTACTTTTTTGGGACATTCTATATTGTCGCAAATTGCAATATCGTAAATTCTGTTTTCAGCAAGTGATGCTTGCCATCCGCCATGATGCAAGGCGCCATCGTCCTCAAATGCTACGCGCATCGTATCATGGCCTCGATATCCGCGTCGATTCCCTCCAAATCGTCGACTTTATTGTACCCAAACTGAGTGCTGAGGTAAGCCATATTGCAGTGAATCAAAATAATCAGTTATAACCCTTTTAAGCATCTCGGTGGCTCAAATTTTCGTTTCCTCACACATGGAGGCGGATTGCGCTATCTTGGTCTCTACTCTGCCACTTACAGAACTACTAGAGAAGGACAGTTTGAGGCCATAATGGAAGATATGCAAATCCAATTGGACGTGACGATTGAAAAGTCCAAAGAAAAATCAGTGGTAAATCTCTAATCTTTTCCTTTCTCGAGTCTTGGTTCAGACATACAAAAACGAGTCATTTATAGGCTTAACATCTTAAAGAAAGACAAAAAATGCACTTCAGGTTACGCTCAGCAAATGCATTACGAAATTCGATGACGTGCTTGTTCAGTTGACTCCAACGATGCCGACACAAATTCTCGACCTATTACGGTATGTATACGGTAACTCCAGTCGGATTAGAAATGTTCTTGGCACTTCTTACTTTGATAATGTAGTGATCTAAGAAAAGGAAGAGGAAGAGTAGCGTAGAATGTAAAATCTGCCCTAATGGACCTTTATATAAACACTTTCAAAAAAGCAATGTTTGGATTTTCCTTGAAAAATCCACTTTTTTCGAATTCGCAGATTTCGAGCCTTTGTCAAAAATAGTACTTTATTTCCTTCTCCTCTCCTTTAGCACAACTGATTGTTGAAAAAATGAGATCGATGTCCAATTTCTCTTCATTTCACTTCAATAGTACTTATGGAAAAGTCCAAAAAGATCATGTAGTTCTGTGTTAATCTTGAAGTTTTTTCTTTTAGAGAACTCATCAAAGAGCGCTTTCATGAAGCAGTGTGTCCGGCGCTCGTGAAGTACGTAGAGAAAGTTGCTGATATGACTGATACGCTAGCTTCGATAGATGAAATTGTACCAAAGAAGGTAAGTCAACCTCTTTGTTGTTTCTGGCTTCGTGCAAATGCTGGTGTTTCAGGATAACACAGATTCCCCAAAACTGGTCAACCATGAGAAAGCTGCTTGGCGTTACGATACCCGGGGTGTAAAGCTATCATTTAAGCGTACTAATCCACGAAAAAAACGTTCGACACTAGATAACAACGTGAAAGACCATGAGGTAAGGTCGACATCTTTATGAAAGTACAAAAAGTGCAGCTCTGTAAGAAGTAAATAAGATCAACTGATAAAGAGCGCATTATGGCACTACGTCACACGGAGTCACACGAGGAGAGATGAACTCATTTACAGAACATTCATAACGAGATGGCATCCGTATCGTTGACAGAGGACTATGTCAATGAAATGCTGACTGATCTTATGGAAAACGACAACGTCATATTTCATCTTCATCATATACCGGAAATTGCGAAACTACTGAGAACACACTGTGATGAAGACAGTCAGTGTCTCGGATCTATGGTGAATTTGGACAGTGTGAAAGACGGATCAGGTAAGAGCCGAACATTTAGAAACTTCGAAGGGCACTGCTCAAAAAGCAAGGATTTCAAAAAAGTTTACTATTTCAAACATTTCAAAAATTTGCAACTGGCCTGTAATTAAAAGCATCATCAAACTTTGAGCGAAATTTGAAGTTTAGTAAGGTGTAACCTCTGAATAACTTGAACGCTTCAATATCGTCTGAAACAGTATTCGAGCAAATACTTAGTCTCTAGTCTCTATTTCTCGTTTAACCGGGTTTTCTTCGCTGCGTTTAATGCGAAATCTTATACATAAAGCTGAATGTCTGTATGTCTGTCTGTATGTCTGTCTGTATGTCTGTACGTATGTGCGGAATAGAAATTTTTATTTCTGAACCGATTTGGACCAAACTTGGCACACATATACTTCGGGGCAGAGAGCGTGTCATAGGCTACTTTTCGTTATCGATCGATATCGATTTTATCGATTTTTTGCAAAATTTGAGCTACGGGGCTGGGAGTTGACACAGGGGGGTAATCGAGCATGCTGATTACGAATATAATAATGACAGGGCCGGGTGGAGCCGGGTTTGCCAGCTAGTCCCTCTATAAGAGTCGAAAATAGAGAACGGGCTCTTATTGGAGCACCTAATTTTTGACTTGGACGAGGTTTCACCAAGACTAAACGCAGGGTCGCTGTAGAACCATGTGATCTGTAATCTACCTTCTCTAGACAATCATTGAAGTCTAAAGCCAAAATTTGAGAATCCCGAACACCCATCTAAATCCCAATGCTAGGGTGCGCAACTCCCCCCCCCCCCCCCCCTCCCCAAATAAAAAGGCTGCGAGGAACCGTTTCCGACATTTTTGCGCCCCACGCACATTTTTTGGTCAGCGGAACAGATAAGCTGCAAGAAACGAAAAATAATCAGAGCGACTTCCCAGGACGTTGCTTTCAAGTGCAGGATCTAATTATCTGTGACTTCCTTCGCTTCGGCAGAGTACCAAGCGATCTGACCATGGAATGGAACACTTAGGTCTTTATGCACTTGCACTAGTTTCTCTCTAGCCAGTGCCATCGAAATATGAACCTGTGTTTCTCAACCGTTCAATCCTCAGTTTTTCTCATTTCAGCTCATCTCAACAGCCATCCAGTCGCAGCTCCATTCGTCGAGTTTGAGCACAACGCGGCATTTCTTCACCTCGCACTCAGTACCGTACTCTCCTTTCAAAATCGTGCCGCTCACCATCGGATACCGTACCTTCGACTCGAAACTTATCTAAAACTGCGGATTGCTGATTTGCTGATCGATCCTATCGATGCTAGCGAATACTATAAATGGTCAGCCCGATACGAAATAGACGAGCTCAAGGTGAGCAAGTGGTTTTGCATTCCATTTCAGTTTGTCAGTAGCCATTCCACCAGCTTCCGTCGTAAAAATGACTATCGCGTTATCAATGACTATTACGGCTCTCATGTGACAGTTAATTCACACTTTATGTTTGCCAAAAGACGCCACAAGGCCTACGTCACGCACATTCTAAAGAAAAACCCTGCAAGATGCTGGCATTATCTGAAATTTTTTAGGTAATCAGGGCGCACACGGACTTCGAAGATATGAAAGTCATTACGCGTGACTTGCAAGGTCTGCTGACACGACATCAGTCATCAGTTGAGGTTTGTTTTTTCCTGCAACATGCACATATTTACAGAACACAGTTTGAACCACAGCGAACAGACTTATAAGCTAGACGGTAAATATGTGTCCTTGCGGCGCCTATCGCTGACAACATTTGCGCGTGAGAATTGCCACAAAGCGCAAAACCTGAATGTGAATGCTCCACAGTCATTTTGCGCGCGCAAATTGCCGGCATTACAAGCGTGACGACAATTCACGCGCATATGTGGTCAGTAAATGTTGGCACTGCAGAAACACTATATTTACCATCAAATCTACAGACCTGCTCACGCTGTCAAAAATTTTGGAATTGATTACTTATAAAACTCGAGCATTTGAGCATTTTCATACAATAATCTGATTTGTTTAGGGGTTGCTCACGACACATTTGAACGGGAAACTCCCACTACTACTCAATCGACATATTCATTTTCAAGCGAGGCCAGCGGTGTTTCGTCACCATAGAGTCACAATCCCATTGGACTTCACGATAGAGAGAAAGTTATTCCCAACATTTGAATTCCTCCCTACACAGCATGCATCTGTAGCAACTGACTAGCTTTATTGTATCTCTAAATTATCATTTTGCGAGATTTGTTATTGTTGGAAGCATTCAATGCGAGAGATTTGCACTCAGCATTGCATAAGGAATTCCTCAATAGGAAAAGCAGCTAAAACACACCATCGCTGGCAACCCAATTGCACGATGGGTCAAATATGCGTGGATGCTCAACATGATACTCATAAACGATCTCTTTCGATCTCAGCGCATTATGTGTGATTTTTAGGTGACTAGAATAAAATTTTGATTACATGGCAGTTGTGCTGATTTTAGAAAATACTAGGCTTTCAGGGCCGGTTGAGCATGCTGATGTGAAGATCCCTATGACAAACCTCCTTATTTTTTTCGTTTCTTTTTTTATATTCATGCACACAAAAATCTCATTTGCCCCTAGGAGCAGCGATAAAAATCACTCCACCTTATATTAAGACGTTTCTGAACTAGAACGATCTAGAGAATATGTTATTGTATCATTCAGAAATAACACATACAAAAAGAGTTAGAAGATTGACACAGTAGACAGAAGCTCGGCTAAATCTGAACCAGAAAGTTGTTATGATAAAGCCCCCCCCCCTCCCTTGTCCTTTTCGAGGCTCTTTCACTATCCCCTCGTCTTTTGTGAGCAGTCGCAACATTAGAATAAACGCTTGAAGACCATGAACCCCTCTTTTATCTTCTTCAGATTTTGAAAATTCCTTACCTCCGCTGACATGCACCGAAAGCGTTTTGCTTCATCGTTGAAGCCTAAACCCACCGATCTGCCACTCATCTTCCTCCTCCCAGATCCCTCCCACGCTCTGCCATGGGAGCAGGATTGCGCCACTAAATAATTATCAAGGCTGAAAAGCGTAAAAAGGGAGTATAAAACGGTTTTGTGCTAATATGGGGACAAGTGGAATGGCAGTGGCACAAGTGGCACAATTTTGGATTTCCGCGCCCTGCGAGATTGTGTCAGAGCATGTATCCAATGGCCTTGTTTTGACTTGTTGACGATGAGGTTGTGTGGATGGACGACTTCTAGCGTAGGGTTCAATTCTTATGTCTTCTCTGCATTTTTTTTCCTTATAGTGGCTTCGAACCGGACCCAGAAGAGCTACATTTCCTTTGCGTTTTTCCCGAAAACGACCCAGCTCAGAACAGTGCCAGCTCTTCCAGACCCTGGAAGTACCATCTTTTCATAACAGCCTAAATCACAATCAAGATTAAAGATTTCTAACCGAAATGAAGATATACCTACTACACTGAAAAGATGGTCTCACGAACAGAAAGAAGATATAACCACATGAGAATTTGCGCGCCTGCATAAGTGGAAGTTTTTGGCATGATGGTTTGCACGTCCATCGTCAAAACTCCAGCAACGAAATGAAGCTGAGGGATGGAGGCTCTCCTGCAGATGCTTCAATAGCGAATACCCAGTGGCTACGGTAGTACACGTTTACGTTTGATATGCAGCGAGCACCACCACACCACTTTGTGTATGAAGCGAAATTCTCCAAGTCCGGAGATGGTGCAAAATCCCCAAATCCTAAGTAGAAAGAGATTAAAGAAAGAAAATAGCAAGTTCTTATGACAGCATTACCTTCCAACTAGAGAAAGCACCACTTCCAAATCAAGCTGTTTCGGAAGCATTACAGAAGCCTCCACTAATAAAGTTTCGCTAACGATGTAAAACATTGCTGGAAAGGGAAAGTCTGAGCGAACCAAGATGCACTCAAAGTTATTGTTAGGGTTGAACGTGCGGTCAAGAGCGAAGGGGAGGGGGGGGGAGTCGTAATCAAAAAGCGGCTTGCTTAGAAGTGAGGAAATACTACGATCGAGTGAGGTGAAGAAGAAAAACGCTCCATCAGAGGAATGACTGTAGTGAACAGCATGGTGATTGACTCGATTAACGAAATCTCATCCAAATTTCTATTCTCCTTACACATGCCGAAAGGTCACCAAAAAAGCTTTTCATGTAAATTGGGCATGATTTTCGTGATTAGCATGCCAAATCACCTAAATGAGCTCTACTCACTACCTATCAAATTTTCTAGTGTTTCCTAACGTATAAAAAGCATGATTTTCAAACCTTGGTCACAAATGTGAAAGAAATCAGCTTTTTTTTTTGTACTCATTACACAGTATATACCACAATCTATCAGTCTATGGTAAAAACTGGACTTCATATCGCTGCCAGATAATGGATAAGAAGTGCTGCCAAAATGTCAGTCACGCGTTATTCACCTTGAGTGCTTGAACACCACCGAACAAAGCCAAAACAAGTAGACGTAAGCTCAAACACCTATTGAAGAATCTTCCAAGTTTATGCTAACGAATCATATGAAACTAAGGTGGAAAAGCTCTTCGGTGATGAAGTTAATCGGGTCAGGCGCAATCCCTCAAAAGGAACAAAATGTTCATCTGTCGAGTCAACGAAGATACCAGCCTGCAAAGAAAGCTGCGTGCAGAAGAAGACACATGGAACCAAGCCGGGCCCAAACGATGGAACAAATTGAAGGTCGGGGAATTCTATTAGGTTGGCTCGAAAGTTCTGGGACATTTTCGAACTAGATCGGCTATTTCTCGAAACCTAACGCATACACATCAGGTAAAGGTACAATTCGATAGAGCAAAGCAAACTCTACAAAATGGTATGCAAAAGTTTGCACCAGCTTCAACCCACCGTAAGTTTGCACCTAAAATCTGGGTCGTACTGAAATTCAAAAAATCGCAAAAAATTCATATCTTTGTTCATTTGAATCCTACGGATCTCCAACTTGCTCACGAAATTTGCACACCACATCAGACACTCATATGCATCATTCCTGTATTTTTTCCTCATCTGGAAATCGAGAAAACGAAAATTTTTATGTTTATATAAGAACGAAGCTGTGCTGTTTCCACCCATGTAATTGCATAGTACAAGCTCTTAGAAGTATAACCGTAAATTTTCAGCTTTCTATAGACCCTAGTTCCCGAAAATTACCGAAATGAGCTCTACTCACTTGGGCGTTCCATGCTAAAATCAATACTTCTCGACAACTAGGGCCTACGGAAAGCTGAAAATTTACGGTTATGCTTTTAAGGGCTTGTACCCTTCAATTACATAGGTGGAAATAGCACAGCTTCGTTTCTATAAAAGCATAAAAATTTTCGTTTTCTCGATTTCCAGATGAGGAAAAAAACGGGAATGGTGCATATGAGTGTCTGATGTGGTGTGCAAATTTCGTGAGCAAGTTGGAGATCTAGGGTTTAAATGAACAAAGATATGATTTCGCGACTTTTTAAATTTCAGTACGACCCAGATTTTAAGTGCAAACTTACGGTGGGACGAAGCTGGTGCGAACTTTTGCATACCATTTTGCAGAGCTTGCTTTGCTTTATCGAATGGTTACCTCTATCTGATGCACATGCGTTAGGTTTCAAGAAATAGCAAATCTAGTTCGAAAATGTCCCAGAACTTTCGAGCCAACTTAATACCTTCTCAAAAATGAAGAAACAAGAAACGGATGACACTCACTTCTTATCTCGATCTTCTTCATCGCGCATTGCCCTGAAGGCATGCATTGACAGCGTGCTACACAGACAAAACCATCTATCTCTTGCTTCCACGTGTTACGCAACACCAATCATTTCCTTATTTGTTCGCAGGATTTTGTGAGATTATTGCATAATGTAACCTATTTGCTGTGATCGCATGCTAAGTTCTCGCGGCCGTCCGCGTCCCACTGTCGTCAGCGGTAGTTATTAACGACCTTTATTTCATAATATCATTATACGTATCACATTCTGCCACGGACAAGCTGGATCGTCCATGCACTTATTTAGCCGCTGGATCAACCTCATGGATGATGCAGATGGCGGTGGCTACTCTCATGTAGGCGAACTTGGGATTGACTGATAGCATAGTTTGCCGGACATTGCTATCGGCTATGCGCCCAACCTAGCTGTATAAAAGAGCCTTGATGCCAATGCTGGACTCGACTCTATCGCCGTGTTAGGGTCGGTTGTGTTCTATATATTACAGGGTGGCCGTAAACATGGGCACGCAACATGTATATATCTTTTTCCCTAAATACTCTATCATGGCGGCCAATATGCCTGTAGCTTATGGACAGCCTCTATTTTAGGATAAGTAAAACTCACGCGAACTAAATTCTTCTAATGCAAACGGTACTCCAGATTCTGCTTCCTTCTGAATGACGCTGCAGTGCGTTCAGTCAATACCATGTTTATGGTACCGTGTTTTATTTTAGAGAGGAGAATTTTTTGCTGTTGCGGCATTGTCTTATCCTCGGACTGTGCTTTACAAAACTTCAGGTCTTAGAATCTATCTGATTAGTAATCGGATTATTTCCACGATTTCGCAATGAGTATTTTCTTCACATGGCGTATTTTGATGCATCAGATCATTAATTTCATGATAAGCTGCTGAAGCCTGTATGCATGTGCAGATAGCCAATCTTGTAGGAGTGACACATTAGAATGCCTCTGTTCTTTGGCATGCCAAAATAAGGCGAAGAATGTGACGCCCATACTTTTCGGCCACTCTATAGATGCGTAAAAAGTACTGTCCTTTGATTTGCCTCCTAAAACTGTTCTATATATAGAGTGTGGAAAAAGTGATGTTCTTCCTCCTAAAACATCTCATAGAATAAGGACTAAGATTTTTAATTCCACATGTAGGCGAGACCTTGTGGATTGGACCAAGATAAATTTGATTTTAAACGTTTTCCTTCTGTTCATTCAAAAGTGGTAACAGCGAGGACGACAATGCGCCGTAGCTTTTGAGCGCGATTCTGGACCGTAACTACACCACCAAGAGTGATATGGGCGATTCCCATGCGTAAAGCAGGCGTGGCCACGCAGACATTTAAACACGTTGAAAAACTTGTTGACGCTCTATTTTGAAGCACTAGTTCTCACTCTCTAGCTGCCAGAAACTGCCACACGCATACGTTGGCAAACTTCGGCAAAGCTCCGCCCTCTATACTGTGGGAAACGATCTCAATTTCAAATTAAAGTAGTGCGTAGAGCATAATCTCTCCTGCAAAGCTCTACCCTATCGTAAATCCGTGCCTTGAGATTTTGGCTGAACAAGGAAAATTTTATCCCAGGAGAAATATTATAATTCTCGAAAAGAGAGTAGTCAGGAATGCGAAAAGAACAGCGGGCATCGTCTACATCACAATTTAGAGTCAATGAATGATTGTGCATAGTTTCTATCCACGGTTTCTGATCGCACCCCATTGCGCCGCACCAACACTTTCGTT